CAGTAGGAAAGCTATAATCTCTTTCATGCCTCAGTAATATTAGTGAAGCACGTTGAAAAGTCCGTAATAAAGTACCATGATAAGCACTAATTGGTGTCACTGTGATCACATTGTATTTATAAGGTACAGCAGGTTCACCTGGTTTGGATGGCCTACCTGGAGAAGCTGGTGTCAAGGGTCAAAAAGGTGAGCCAGGGGAGAGCTCAGATGTCTCCGCCCACCGAGTAGCATTCTCTGTAAGGAGGACGACCACCTCGGCTACCTCGACGAGTGACAACACCCGTTTGGCCTTCGAGGAAATCGAGACGCTTCTGCCGGATACCAGCTTCGATCTAGCCACGGGTGCATTCACTTGTAATGTGCCGGGCACTTACGTGTTCATGTTTTCCATGCTCGAATATTCTTATAATAGCAACGTTGACGTTCATCTTAGGAAGAACAGCGAATGGATCGTCTCAAGCTATACCCCAACCGATGGCCAACTGTCAGGAAGTGCTTTGCTGGTTCTGCAGAGGGGAGACACGGTGTATCTCACGATGCGAGGTAAGGTCTGGAGCGAGTCAATTCAACATTATACCACCTTCAGTGGTTTTCTCCTTTTCGCTGATTAAACGAACCGACAATGGATACTTGACCGTGAACCGATCTCGACTGTTAATTCACCTTATTCACAAGTTGGCCATTTTGAACGGAAATAAAGGTTAGCATTTTTGTTTTAAGTTCATGAAAAGTTCATTTCATATTAATTTCAATCACGAAGATTAATCATTTAAAATATGTGATTTATCACATCTAAATGTTTGAAGCATCGTTAATATGATTAAGGTTAGGCATGGAACACAAATAGTCTGGTACCACTCCATTTGGAAGATTACTTTGCGTAAGATAGATTCAGGGAGCATGATAAAAATGGCTGCTTTGTGAATAAGGTGTATTTCTTTTTTTTAATATTGGCACAATGTGGAACATACGCAGTGAGGTTTGTAGCACAGCGAAATTATACAAAGATGAATCTTTTGCCTCGTTTCAAAGTTTAAATAAACTATTACCAACATTACTTTGATGGCACAATGGTTACGCACGCGTCCTTAAAGATGATGCGCACGTGAATTTTGACAAGATCCTATTAGTCACCCTGTCCGCCCTAATGAGTTGAAGTGCACCCTCACCGGCGAAAGATAGACAGACTGGTACCTAGGTTTCCAACTTGGTTCTTGCCACGGACGTGTATAATAAAATCTGGACTCGCAATGCCCTTAATCAGCTTATAGAGTCATTGAATCCACTCGCGGCCATTTTACCAAGCCGAATACAAAGCTTTCCTGGCAATGCCGCCTTTGTTCTTCCTGACGTCAATAGAAGGGGGCCAACCCACGCTTTTGTATTCGGCTCGGTAAAATGGCCGCTGGTTGGCTTCTTTTTCCTACGAAGGCGTTGCAAGTCCATGTTTTTTTTATATTCGTCCGTGGTTCTTGAAAGCGTTCAGCGTGCACGCGAAGACCATGCAATCCAGAATCGATTCGTTGCGTGTACTCAGCGGGCTCCGTGTCAGACACGCACAAACTTGCGCGTCAATGCGATGAGTTCGTTCCAAAAACGCGCCCTCTTTTGTTCCCGCTCGGATTGGTCGAAGAGGTTTTGCCCGCGTACACCACCTGCAAAATGTGAACGTGGAGCCACGGTACTAGTGGGTTCGAATACCATGCGAAGTCACTTGTGAGATTCAGACATACAGGCATTTGCAGACCATCTGAAGTTTTGTTGATATTTGTGTTACTGGTCCTGCATAACATTGTCTCAATGAATGATCACATAACCTGTTTTTACAGTTGTCCGTAAAATCAGAGGCGTGGTATGAGACCATTTGAATGAAATATTTTGCAAACTTGTCCGACATTTTGTCTGTAGTGCAGTGTGGGTTCAAAAGTCAGTCTAAGTCATCAGAAACAGAGGCGGTAAAAATTTCAATTTATGAGATGAAGTAATATTGTCCAACCAAGATGTTAAGATTACGCATTGAAAATTAATTTAAGTTTGCTTTTGTTATGTAAATGCATTATGTACGTTTGGTCCTGGACTTTTGCTAATGACTGTACTTATGGATTTGGAGATCTCCTTTTGGAAATAAAATGTCATGTAGGAATCGATTAAAAACAAAGATATGCTGTAGCGAATGAGGGAAAAAAAAAAAGTTTCCCACTTGTATCAGACTTGAAATTGGCGCTTGACTTAGATTCCTGACAAGGTTTTCGAAAGAGGAACATATGGAATTCATTATAGCCCCCCCAAACAGGGTCAAGAAAAATGGACGATCTCTATATCATTACCAGACAATTTTACAACGAGGAGAGTCGTAATTGTTTTGCGTAAACCAAAGGTTTATTTCAGTTTGAACAGAACATTAACTTTTAAACAGCATTGGGTACTACGGTTGCAATGTCAAGGCATTTTGGCTGCTTTTCTGTACCGAGAAATATCAAGACAAAATAAGGAAAGTTAAAATTGTTTGAAATTTTTCGATGAGAGGAAGCACATTATATGAGCAAGAATTCTTTTCTGGTAGACTTTCTGCCTTGCTGTTTTTGCTAGATGTAATCAAGTAGCAATTTATAGTGCTGCATAAATTATTTGCAAAGTTTATTATTTTTAAAATTTAGACCAAGTTTCGGTGTAGCTTTCAAAACAGTCAAGGCTTGAAATTGTGGCAGATGTACTTTTGTTTGCTTTCAAAAGTTTTGTGCTGCTCAGGAAAAAGAGCTTGACAAAAAACTGTAATCGCAAGTAGATTCTGAAGACAAATATCCATCAAGAACTTTGCTTTGGTCCTTATGTCTTTAACAAGTGGATTCAAAAATATTGAAATTTCTAAGGTTATTCATATTGGACTGTGAGTAGCTAGGCTTATACTGATAAAGTATCAACTTTTTTTTCAATTTTTCAATGGGAAAGTGTGATGGGACCCTTTAAACAATAATACAAAGGTAATATCCTTTATCATCTGATAACACACCTGTTATCAGCCAATCGCACAACCCATCAACGCTCCGAAATAAAATGAATTACTTGTCCCTCAATTTGTCGCATGAAGTGAACCAAAGTGAGTATTGTAACGTTGCCTAGAATGTGAATAAATGTAGATGAGTAGCAATCAGAGACTTGACGAAAAGTGACATTCATCGCCGATTTTCTTCTTTTCCCTCGTGCCTTGTCTCTGTCGCATGAAGTCAATGTTTCTGGATCTTCGTTTTTGCTGCCACCTTAAATGTGTTTCTTATTGTTTTAGGGTCTCAAACTTGTTTATGGATACGGTTCGCCGAAACACACCCCAGACTAATTGGATGTATTGCGTATGCCTCAAATATGATAGTCATAATTGAGTGCTTAATAGAGTCTATAAAATGCAGTTAAAATTAAAAACCATCCACATGATGGACTGTCGACCAAAATGATTGGTTGAACTGTCTGAGGTACTTATGAATAAGCAATGTAATCCTTTTTAATCACTTTATCATACTCATTATACTAAACTTTAGAATTGATTTAAAAAAGCCAAGACTTGTTAATTATGAAATTATGCTTTTTATCTACAAATGGAAAATAACATAATTATCTTATACTATGACAAAGCATATATTTTAATATTCAGCTCCAGGTTAAGCACAAAATGGATTTAAGTTCGATTCCGAGGATTTGTTTCCTTTGGTGTGCATTTCTGAACCAAAACGTGTCCCCTTCCTGATGTCTCACCAAAATAATGAATGAAATTTAAAGGCTAGGATAAATCATTATCTGCACAATCTAGTGTAAGAGAATAAACCATTTATATTTGGGAAGCGCAAACGTGTATAAATGTGTATGAATTTGAATGCCAGAGTGAAATTTTCTAGGATTGCGGGCCCATGATTATTAATAGGCCTAGAATTTCTCCTTTGAAGTGTGTCCTCAACACTTCGAAAGTTATTTATTGTGTTTTCAAATCCTTACGATGAGGATATGTTGTCATGCGTATAGTTTATTTAATGGTATGCAACCTGCAGAAGGGGCTGTTCCACCATTCACATGGGGAGCGCCATCGGTAATTAGAGGGGTCAAATGGAACCGAACCCGAATATATAAAACGGGCGAGGTAAATTTTTTTTTACACTTTTACGGTAGTGTACAGTGTAGGCCTACTACATACATGACACTGAAGTGTCGAGAGTGCAGTCTTACGCAGCGTTTCGATTTTAGTTATGCTGCCCGAGTGTGAAATAGCGACTACGGGGGCGATATTTGCCAGGATATTTCCAAATTTCAGGATTTGCCAAACAATGGCATTCATAATCTGGAAAATCCTGGTTTATCATAACGGTTTTTTAACATATAAAAGTTGACATAGAACACAAGAGATAGGTATTTTAAGGGTTGCCTTTACCCCAACACAATAGGCCCTACACTGCCTTGAAGTCCTCTAATTCTACCCATCTGGTGATTATTTTGTAGATATTTCACTTTCCTCCAGTCTCACCTCTTGACCAAGCAAAATCTTATTAATCCATTCACTCCTCGAAACTGGCTTTGTTCGTTTTGTTTCTGTTCTTGTTTGTGTCTTTTTTTCCTTAGTGTCTGAAAAGTAAAGCAATTAGAAACAATACCTTTCTTTTTGAGGGAGGGTGGAGGATAGTTTTACGGATTAGATGTTTGCTGTTCAAAAAACCAATCAATCAATCATACATTTTTATGCAAGTGCAGCAAACTGGTTAATCAAAAACCTATACTCGGTTAATTAGCTATCATATGACTTTACAGAGCGTCATTCCCCAACGTACGGGACCGGTAAGTGGACGGGGCACGAACGTTTTGGAAGTACACAGGACGGTGTCACAGAAATACGGAATACAGTGTCTTCTCCAAAGCCTATGTTATTTTGAAGTTCCCTTTACAGCCGAAACGGTTTGTGTGAACTGCCACGGTCAATCACCTCCCGAGCCAGGAGGAAGGAAATACCATCTGTATATACACATAAATTCACTTCCTCGATCAGTTCATCAAGTTCAACCAGTCGGTACGTTGGAATGTGTACAGTATGGAATGCTAACAAGTTATGGAGTCTGGGGCACCGTAAGTGTGCCATGCTTTGGGGTCACTGGGCTGTAATTACTGCCGTGTATTACTAATTAATTCCACACACCATGATCTCAGTCGTTTGGTTGATTTTAACTATCAAACTAGAGATACAGCGGTTTTTCCTCTCTATGTTTTATTGCTCATAAAACGCAAAACATACATTAGAAAGAAAAAGCG